TAAAGAAACCAAAAGTCATCTCGATGATACGAAATTTTGTAATTGTACGTATTTATTCGTGCTAATTGAGTTCTACAACCGTAACAAACCAATGTTGTGTAAACTCGATTAAATTATTTCTATTATTTATTAATTATTTCTAGCATTATACTAGGAAGCAATAGTTTCAGTTCAATAATTCGTTATCCAAATTTAATAAATGCCATTTTTGCCATTCATGTTTCATGCGTATTTACTACTGCAAGAAAAGACTATTGTGATTATGGTAATAATGCAAACAGATGAGGGAGGAGTTGTTCAGAAGATCACGTGTAAAGCTGGTTGTCGACTGCTTTGACCAACAGACCTAGTTAACCGTGTGTAATTACACGTTTATACTCTGATTTATGATCAACCACGCATTCCGATAACACGAACAACTCAGGAAACATTATTCCATATAAATCCCGCAACCACAGTCCTTTTTCAATATTGATACTGCTTGATTGCAAATCACTTTATGGACTTGTTTTCATTTGATTGTCAAGAGAGAATTGATACCGTTGGATTCCTAGTGATAGAATTCTCTGTATATAGGGGAAACAAGATTCTTGTAGGATCAGAATTTAAAATTTGCTGTCATGAAATATTTTACAAAAGTTTCATCTTGCAGCTTAGTACTATTATCTATTTATGCACTGTACAAAGCTACGTTTTTGTCTCTCACTTTTCATTAACTTGTTAATATTTGAGACTACACATACATATTTTCAAAATTTGAGCGCAGTGCACTATTCTTCGAAATGGGCTGAAAAAAGTAGAAATTACAGTCTCAGAAAGAAATAAGAGTAAGATTTTTTAATAAGTCAGACATTAGCGAAAACTCCCTTCCCTTGCCTGCCTAACTTTTTAGCTTTTAGGACAAGCAAAGTCTTTTCTCCGTTGGAATATAAGTATGTAAGGGAGGTTGACAAGAGCGGGAGAGTTTTCTGAGAGTCAATGAGAGAACGAGTACTCCATAAATAATTCCTACGCATGAAAAATCGATATTACAAAAAATCAATTTAGTCTAGAATATTCCAATACTTTGAATACTTATTCAAACCACACACGCGCGCACAGTCATCATCAGTTCATCTATTGCACACACGTTCATCGTTCAACAAGATATCCATTCCCACATATACAATGTATATGGCAGCACATGATAAGGTATCCTTTGAACCCATTGCGAAAGAAGATACTCGCCCAAATATGCATCAATATCGTTGTTTATCCCTCAAGATTAATACAAACCCGTCATCAATCAGGAAATTCGAGACAATTGAAGCGGGTAACGCGAGGATAATTATGACGGGGAAAATGTTTTACGACCCCGTTGCAACTTCGAACGCTAATGCGTCCAATCAACGTCTCGTTATCATTACGAATTACGCACCCACGACTGGTCTTGTCTCGAATTTGTACGCATACAGGACACGTGTACAAAGCAAAGCGACCAGCGGTATGTGCTCATTAGGAATAAATCAATTAGCAAGCTGCCTGATTGCCGATTCAATGATTCGACCGGTATCCAATTAGCAGTTTCCTCTTAATTATCAAACAATGCCTGATCTTTCAGCAAAGACGGATGCTTTTCATTTACTGTTACGTAAACGTTCGCAAACACGACTGTCTTCAATCACGTATCTCCGAGTCTGCCAACCCTAATCCTCTACCCTCCACTTTCTTGGGAAATCTTCTTTTGAGATCGGAACGTTCTTATTAAGTACTTTCCTTATTTCTAAAAGTATAGATTAACCCTTTGCACTCGGAATGCCAGCTGTGCTGACATGCTTACTTCCGAGCAATTGTTTTTAACAATATTGTAGTATCTAGAATATTTATTGTAGGATGAATGGTTTGTTGTGCGTGTGTAAGGGCGACCAGGTCGTATTGCGACGGACCGGCGCCGGGATGTTTTGAAAATAGTGTGACTGCGTTTAGAAAATCTCGAGTGGCTGAAAGAATACGAGGAAGAGTGTCCGGAACTGAGCGACTGGACCGTGAGAAACGCGTGTACGTGACTGCGTGAATTTTTACTATGGACGAAAGATGCGAGTGAGAAGGGTGCAAGGGTGAGAAAGACAGAGCGAATGGGGGTGTGTATTAAAAGCGAGTGGGAATGCCTGCGAGAAGGACATTTTGGTGAGAGACAGCAGAGAAGAACATTTTTGTGCGTGATAGAGAGTCGTGTGTTGGCCTTCGTGGTATTAAGTTGTATTTTTACGTGTTGTCCATATTGTTTCCTAATTCTCTTTTTACTGAAGATCCACCTTTTCAATATCTATAATAATAGTAGCCCCACTATAATATCATACTCCGTTGATATACGTACTAAATTTCATTTTAACAAGTGAAATCCAACGTTGCTTGGGCACAATAAACAAACAATTTTAAAAGGATTGAAGCTTTATAGTAGAATGCTGCCATAATGGTGGCTTCGTGCTTTGATATCTAAAATCGAAAGCTGCAAGTGAATGATTTAATTATTTAAATAAGGAGACATTAAAATGTGATCTTCTTCTTTTCTAGTATTTTGTATTTCGATATTTGCATAGATACATAGTTGAATCTTCTTCAGTCCTTTACTAACAACAATATAAAAGAATATTCGTATGTCCCAGATACTTTGTCCTATGAAGGATTAACATACTACACTTGTAACACTTCTACCTGCTTTGCAGTTATTTACAGTATCTACCTATAAATTATATACTTTCTCAAACCATATATAGTAAAGTCAAAGCACATTCTCCAGAAGAGAAAGCGAGATAATTTGCAAAATAGGCATTTGGTCGAATCGTCAAATACATCAATCGGGTTTTTTAACCTGAGGATACAAGCGTTGCAAAAAAGTAGACAAATGAGAAAAGGTTGCTAATTGTGCTAACAAAATGATCAAACACCATTCGTTCATTATCGATATTTCATGGATACATCGGTGTACGTTTCGTAAGCAAGCTCTCCTGGAAAATAGCGGAAATCGATAGGTAGACAGCTGAGCACTTTTAGTGAACGCAGAACAAGAAATTCCGGTGTTTCGACGCTGATCGACAGGTATCTAGAGTCCACGGGAAAATTCGCGCGGCGGAGTCACGCGTAATCGTATCGGCATGTCAAATTAAGGGAGGAACGATCCACTTTAGCCTGGTAACGAGTTTACTAACCCCTTCGCATGTAGGTTAAAAGGAATCGATGAGATTGCACGGCGGCGGACGTGCCGGGGGCCGCGTATGTATCGGTTGCAGACTATGGCGAAGTGCGCGGGCAACTATAGTCGCATCGGCCGCGGTTAACCAGGAGTCGCAGGCCGGCCGGCGTTAACTCTGGTTGTGAATCACGACTTCGTTTAATTATTTCGACGAAGAACGAGCGAATCCGGATCGATTCGATTGAATCCGAAGGGAGGAGTCGGTTTTGTGTGTAATTAGTTGATCGTTGCTATTCACGATCCAATGCAGGGCGCTGCGATCTTAAGTATCCCCTCTGTTGCTCTTTTTGAACTATTGACCGACAATCAAGTGGACAGTACGGGAGTTTGAAAAAAATAACAGGATAGGCTGATATTCTCTTGCAGACTTTAATAATTATGTAGTGCAGAGCATTGAATTTTGAAGTAACCCCTCGGTTGCTCTCGTTGAATTGTTGACTAGTAATTAAGTGGACAGAGAGTACGGGATTTTGAAATAAAAAGTTAATAGAAAGGACGACTTTAATAATTGTGCAGTTACGTTGGAGAAATTAATTGCGTTACAGCGTAGTTGAAAAGCTGTGCACATCCGACGTATTGTTGGGAAGATAACTTTGCAACGCTCAATTCTTCTGACTTCCTTAACTCTAAGAGTTCTTTAGTTCAGAGACCTTCTACTATTGCGAAAGGGAGTCTAATTGGTGAAAAATCAATGGTTAATTATTGAGACGTCGATAAGAGTGAAGAGTTTTTTATAGGAAATGTGAAGTGTTTTTTATAGGAAAATCCTGTAAAAATGTTTTAATTTAAAAATGTTGATACCATGTTCGTGTAAATTTTAAAGAATCGGCTCTAAATAATGTGTAATCATGTATAAAAATGGTTTACAAGGGTTTGCAAACAATGAGTTGATAACATTCACGATTGTTTAATTATTGATTTAAGATATATATATGTTTCACTACATTCATGGTCAAATCGCCGGAAGCTTTATATCGTATTCATTTGAAAACAAAACGAATGTAAAGGTTTGCCCGATAAAAATGTTGCTCGTAGTCAGACCCAAATTAAAGTTGTCCTCTGCACGAAATTGTTGCGAAATTTTTAAAATAACAAAGCTTTCGTTAGATTCCGAAGTTTGAAGTGTTCGTGTAACCTACCAGTATACTTTTAAAAGCATCATCTTTTAAAAATCCAATATTTACACGAAACAAATATTAAATTCTACAATACTTTAAATAGAAACAAAAAATTCAGGAAATTATTGATAACAGAATCTTCATAACACTATTCTGCAGAAATGTCAACAGTGTCGAAATACTTCATGGATAATTTCTAAAAAAGAAATATAAGCAAATTTTAAATATTCCACCATTAAAGTCTCCAAAGTTAATGTTTAATTCCAATACTATTAAAAGAACGAACCCGAAAATATCAAATACTGCAACTTCAAAAATATAGTCTTCGTTCATCAACCGTTAAAAAATCAAGACTGAACAACTGAATAACTGAATAAATCAATTCAATACAAACAATTGACTAAAATCACGAATCACTAACATGTAAACCTAATTTTTAACGAATCATTGAAACAAATACTTTACCCCAATTACCCCCAAGTGGTAAATTAAGAAACCAGTTGAGAAGATAAAGCACGAAACTACACTAACTACCCTAAAACATCCCAACGAGCAAAGCTTAAGTGAACCCCGAAAATTACTAAGACTCCCACAAAAGAAGAATAGCTTGAAATATGATAAAAGTTAAAGGAAATCCGCGGCTGTCGCAGGCCCGGTTCCAGCAGAAGCAGCTGCAGGAGAAGGAACAGAAGTTGCTGCAGCTTTACGATCAGCAACAGCAACGGGCTTATCAAGTGGTGCAACGTGGCAGCGCCAACTCAAATGGCTCAAATTATGGCTCCTCCGTCAGCCAGCACAGCGTCACAAAGACCTCGACCAGCAACCACACAACCTCGACCTCGCAAGGTGGAAAGGTGAGTGGTCCTTCATGTGGAAACATGACGCGTTGTCGTAATGCAGTTTCACGCCACGCTTTCTTGAATGGTGTAATGGGCGGCGCGCGTTTCGTTGCTGGGAATCACGGCAGATCGCCTTCGTGCTCCGCCTCGCGTTCCTCTTGCCTGCACGATCGGTGCGCATTGTACCTATTCTCTCCACGCGAAAACGTTCCGCTTCGTTCATCGTCTACTGACCACTTTATGGTAATTGAAAACGTTTAGAACTCGAGATTATCGAGTGGTCGAATAACGCGAATGAGTTTCACTGATTTTGCACGTATTAGATTCAACGTTTCCAATGAGTACCGTTTTAAGTTTTATATCTTAAGACGTTCGAGACTGCTAACATAGTCCTGTGTTGCACTGTGGCCGATTTAGCCGTTTTAACCGGCTAAAATTGAAAACACCTGTCTATCGAATTTTTTTGATAAAATATATATATATATATATATATATATATATATACGCATATATATTATCCATTTAATTTGGAATAGTTACTACAAATTTACGAGGCATACGTAGTTGATAATATTCGTCATTGTTTATACACAATTGAATGGCCGATCTTTGCGATATTCAGCTGTAGGCTTTGAGAAATTATTACGTGTGGTCGCAAATGTGTTAATAGATTTGGAAAATCTGTTTGTATGCAAATTTGATGAAGCATGCTTGAAGAATTCTGTTTATAAGATCTGAACTGAACATAAAAGTAACGCATTAACGTCGTTAATTATTACAAATCGTACTTAATCGTGCCTAATTATGGATAATTGCGGGTAATAAGGAGGAATTTAATTGGCACTTTGATACTTTATAGGGTGAACGCGATTATGTTTAACAGATTATAAACAACGAGAGACCAGTTTAACTACATTTTCACAGATTTCTTCGGAGATACTGTTCCATTCTGTTTGGCTTCGATACTATTAGTTGGCTTCATTTAAATATTTTCACTTTGATAATTATAGACTAATGCTTAGAATTGCGTAAAACATTGGAATAACAGAGATAAAAAAAGGGATCAACTGTTATACTCAATTCTCACTTGTTATATATTATGTAAAGATACAAAAATGCGAGATGTACAATTTTAATTAATATTTATTGCAAATGAAAGAAATTAAAATTTTGCAAACTATAAACATAGTATATTAGTAACTATAAACATAGTAAATTAATAATAATGATTAATATAACCTTACAACGCGCACTAATAACATCAACTTCCGTTATTACATACCTATATAAATAATAACAATAGTGAAACGCTGACTCACCAAGAGAACTTCTAAGTGTCACTGTCCTTTTAATGAGCCTTTGTGGGAGTGCAACACTTTATTTCAAGGCTCACCGTTTGTAAAAGAAAGAAAAGCATTCATAGAAAAATTGTACATCAGAAAAAATTTGTATCCCTTTTTTCTCTCTTTATGTTTCTTTTTCATAACATTTTCTCTCTTAATCTTCATGTACTCATTTCATAAATTCAATAAAATTTGATTTGTTCGACAGGTCGCTAAGAAAATTAATTTTTTAAATTCCATAAATTGTGTCAGCTAAACGTAAGTGACTTGGCAGTCAAAGTGTTAAAACGTCAAATTGGATAATTTAAATGAGGAATATACAAGCTTGAACGAATTATGTATATTAAATGATAGGAATTACAAACACGATCAATAAGACGCCAGATCGCTTTCCCATAATAAAAAGCAACAATCATCCATAAATCAATAGCTCATTATAAAAAGCAATCGTCAATTATGTGTACCACGAGAGATTTTTAGAACTAATTTCTATATCCGACAAGTTAACCGTTTGAGTACCACACTTCTTTGCAAAAACCCGGTCGAAATGTGCCAAGCTAATCGTTCGCGCTTCTTTCGTTCCAGCTCAGAAACTAAATTACACTTTCCTATTTTCACAAAAAAAAATTGGAAATATTGCGTCCGTTCTATTTTCCCATTTCTAAATAGGTAATAACAAAAATGAAATTAAATAATTGGAAGGGAAACAAATAAATAAACTTAATTTGATTTTACAAACCCATAGACTGGCACTTTTTAGACAGTGTATATAATAGAGAAGCACGATCGCACGGCTTGCCACTTTTCAACCAAGTTTTTGCAGAGACCCATGCACTCAAACGGTTAACCTGTTGGCTACGGGTATTAGTTCTAAAAATCTCTCGTGGCACACATAATTGACCCTTCGTTGGCAATATGGTTTTTCAACAACGTGCCCAGTAATATGGATCTGTTATGGGTAATCTTGATAAAACAGTTAACACTAACCCTACCGGCACTTTATATGTACTTATTCCTACCCTAACTAGTCAAATTACCGGCAACCAAAGAAAGGTAAACAAGTTCGATGATCGGTTTTTCTTAGTAGAATTAGAATCAAAAGAAAAGACAAAAATTGAAAAGTGATTAACACTAAAACTACCACACAGGTTAAAGATTGACCCACTTCAGAATTTTTATTTTGCAAGTATTTAAGTTATAAATCCGTTTCTAAAAAGAGACTTTCAATCGAATTTATGTATTTGTATAAATAGAAGACTAGATGACTCTTTAAATCTCATGAAACGTACTGTTCTAACTTTTACCAGGAATTAGACCTGACAACATAGTATAGTGAATATATGTGGATCGGGAATAACACACGAGAATATGGAATAACTAATAAATAACTACGTTTATTAGTAATAAAACAAGTAATATTTAAATATAAGAAACTATATACTAACGACACACAATTAAAACAATGCACAACTTTCTGCCACGAAGGCCAACGCACGACTCACTCTGCACAGCCTCTCTTTTGGACATTCGCACTCAAAAATCATACTCTTCCCCACATTTTAGTTTCCGTTTAACCGCAGTTTTTTTTGTAAAGACTGATACGAATTGAACAATACGAAGACGGACAGTGACAGTTATTAAAAACATACGAAAACAATCAAGTGTTCATTTGATGTCGTTAATGTTAAACTGAAACCAAATGTACACATATGTGCCGGTATCTTTGAAGAGGTTAATTATGGAATAATAGCCGGTAACATACGATAGCTTCTGCGTAAAATTACCGGTCAACAATGTGTTAAGTAAATTCATATTTCGAATTGGTAACGCAAGGTAAGGCAGATGTTCGACGAGAGGCGACAGACGACCGTGAAAGGCATTGATAGAAGCTACCCATTGGAGCCGTTGGAGAACAAACCACGGAAGCAGGCGAACGGAAACGGGCCGCAGAGGAACGGAAATTCGACGGTGAACCGACATTCGATGACTGTGAAACGGGTAGCCAGGGCCGACGTGAACAGCAATTTGAACGGCGGCAAACCGATCGTCTCCTATCACGAGGAGATAACTCGAGAATCGTTCGGCCCGTCTGGACACCAGCAGCAGCCAGACGATGACGAGTTCGGAAACGAAAACCACGTTGCACAGTATGCAAATGGAAATCATCGGGACGAGGTAATTAATTAACGATGCTGATTTACTCTTAAGACAACAGAACAGAGCGCAAGCGCCTGCGTAGTATACGCACGATCTTGAACTTCTTAATTAGGGGATGGCTGCAGTAACAGCATCATTACCGACGGTACTTATTTCTAGTAAAGAAAACAAGTGCATCATGCTTATATTGTATGTCATGTTTGCATTACTTTAATTGTCCTTAACTTCTTGAAGTCGCGATTATTCAAGTTTAGCATCGATCGGAAGTTCATTCGCGGATGACTATTTAATTTTGTACTTATTCCTGCAGTGCAGTTGTTTTACATTATCGAAAAACTGGAAGTGCCAGACAATTGTTTGCAATTCTGGAAGTAATTTCTATGCCGGTATAATTAAAGTAACTTGTAAAGAGAATATACAAGAGTGCGTCGTTACTGCAACGGAAGTTCTCAGCCACTTTAGGGTGTTGTTTGATTGAAAACAAATGTACGAGAAGTAGAATATAAAAGATTTTTGAAACGAAATCGAACCGAAACGTTGTAATTCTTAAACAGTTTTTTTCTTAAAATATTTTGTCACTTACTTAGAACACTTTTAATTACAATATTGTTTGAAAAGAAAAGACGATGTAACGTTATGTAATAACGTTATGACGTTATGTAAAATTTATCATATTGCAGGAACCATTGACACAAATAAAGTTGAGTTTTAACCCTATGAATTCTTTATTTTTTCAGATAAACATGTAATTCTTCTTTGTTTTGCTTTGTTTTTTTTTTATTAAAATATAGCCTAGGTGCATTCGTTCTGCGTTTGGTGAATGCATACTTCATTTTTTTTATTTTATTGCGCGCAAAAACGAGAGACTTTTCAAACTAAATTCCACAGTTAACAGGTTAAAGGATGAATTGCAAAAATTAATGAAATTGTTGAAAACAAAATTATAAGAATATAAAGAAATATAATTGCTGTTTTCCATTTTAACGAGTTACTCACCGCGTCTCTGCGCGATAATCCAAATAGATACATATCGAGGAAGTCCTGGACGAAGACACAATAGAGAGAAACCGCATGATGGCAAAGCTCCACTTAATGGAATACGACGAAACGCTGAAGCATCACATTAAAAACGACCTCGAAAGCGAGGAGTTCCCAGAAGATTTCATGGTGGATGTTCCTGACAAGCTTCCGAAACAAAGTGTTTCCAAGAAATTATCACAGGCAGAGGCAAGGCTGGAGCGTTTCAGAAACGCAAACGCGAAACGCAGCAACAACGCTGCGAAAAACATAAGTACGACCAGCGTTCCGAAGAAACGATCCGATCCAATTTTTCCGGCTAAGTCAACTTCTAGGTAAGTGGAGGAAATATAAAATAGACAATCTATAACGAAGAAAACTTCGAAACAAACTTTCATTCTGTTCAATGATTGGGTCTGAGAATTAGAATGGCGAAAGTCGGTCATCCTTCATTTTGAAACCGTGAAAATGAATCTATCATAGAGTAATATTGAAAATGTTATCTTCAATAAAATACCAGTTTTCAAGAATGTTTTATATTAAAAAATGTTTATATTGCAGTGATGAAAATAGATTCAAAATTCGTATTTTTTTATTGGATACTGAATCTTTGGTAGCTATGACAAAAATTGATTGAATCTTCATTAGGATTTACTAAGATTTAGTTCTAGTGTTTTTTGTTTGTGTTTAATTTAGTTTATTTATGTATTTTGACAGTCTACCCTTCGATACTAATATGATTGGTAACATAAAAACTTTTAGCTCGTCCATAATCATCCTTTTATTCGAATATATGAAATTTGAATACAATTATAAAAACTGACTATGATTTAGCAATTTGATGAGTAGCATTTTCATGTTAAACGTTCCATACATTGTTTAATAATTCAACAGATCTATTTAGAGATTTCATAAATCATTTACACTGCTAAACAGACTAATTGCTGCCCAACACGATTATGTGGATAACTCAATTCTCCAGGTTTCTCGACTTCCCTCATTCTCATTTTCAGAGACTTGAACAGTCAGATTGTTTTCTCCTCTTCTCTAAAATGTTTCGTAGAAAAGCTTTGCCAAAATATTTGGTATAAATAGAAACATGTGAAATATAGAAAATGTTAGGCTGAGTAATAAGTTCGATCAAAATTTTAATCATACTTTTTCTTAACGAAGTTACTTCAAAATATTTCTTTTCAATGAAAATCATATCATTCTTACAAGATAAAATATATTCTGTGTGCACTAACATTATTTGTTTGTAACGTAATGTGAAATGCTAACCTAGATGCAAAAGTCATTAATAGTCATTCTAAAAAACTTGTACTTGCACTAGCTAAAAAATTAAAGTGAGAAAGCTAAAAGTAATGCTATAATTATATATGAATTATTTCTTACCTTTACTGTCCTCAGTAATGATTATATACATATATGATTTGACAAAAGAGTAGCCAACAAAACATTAAAGCACCAAAGTACATAAACTAACGATAATTCTTGTGGTAGAATTATTTAAAATATTATACTTGTCTTCTACAGATTTATATTGTATAAAAACAAAACGTAGATGTATTTACAAAGTTTGAATATCTATTTTATAGAATGGCTGTGAGTGAATATTTAAATAATTTTCCTACTTTCAATCACCTCAAGAATTTCAACCACAACAAGAATTTTAATTTCAATTCAAAAATATCCCGCGAATAAGCGAAACAAAAGTTTAAAAAAAACAGATGAACAAACAACAAAAACAAGCGATGAAATCGTTTGAAAATTAATATCGTTCAATGGTCCGCGTCAGAATCCGAAAAGCTTGTTACTCAACCCGACATGAATGAAATACAGTTTAAAACGCAAGTAGGTTATCTGTCCCGATTATTCCATCGAGTCTTGGCGAACGCAAATTTTCTGCCCGCTAATTGGCAATCAGTGCTAACAATCCGTCGCTGCTTTCACCCCCTAGCCCCTTTGATTAATTCCTCGTCGCATAATTGCAATCGCTGACTGGACCCGACTCGTTTAAACCCACGCAACCGTAGTAGCCTAACAATACATACCACACGCCTCCCTGGAACCGAACCGCGCGCCTTTGAGAAACCGACTAAACGACACGTTTCCGGCAAAGTAGAGGCGCACCGTTTCCGGTTCGTCACGAGCAGGAGGATGCCCACTCTAATTTAGGCCCGCCTAATCGCTATCGGAGGAAGGATAATCGGCCGAAGGACATTAAACACTTCCATCAACGTAACAATCGCTCGTCAGACAGTTGAAGCATCGATTTACGACGCAGCTATGGGAAACTAAACCGAACCCGCGAGGTTATTAATCATTGATCATCATCGCCGCCGCTACGCCGGCAAAAATGCCAATTTTCTATCCTCGTTGCGAATCGGGTGACAAGTAGCTTTTGTGCAAAGCTTCAAGCGTCCCTTTATAAATTATAATAGTTTTAACTAAAAAAAAGAAAAAAAGAAAAAAAACGAGTCGTTCAAATCGACGACCGAGGAACTATTCAAGCTTTATCCTGCTGCAGCAAACATGCGCCGAATCGTTTCTCGTTGATTCATCTATTCTTTGTCTGTGCACACTCTAACTGCGAAACGAAATTAACACTGTGTAAAGAGTAACAGAATAGGATAGAAGTAGAAAGTGGAATTAATTCGATTGGCGTGCGAGCTCGATAATTTGTTGTGATTCCATAGCAGAAGTAAGACCGATATGGGATCTAGTGTCAGAAAAAGCAGCGTTAATAATAACGAAACTAGAAAAGCATCGAGGACCTCTGAAAATGTGAGAGGAAGTCTGTTATCTTCGGGTTCTCATAGAACTGTGAGGAAAAGCAATTACAGCCCCGAATTTTATTGTAAAGAGTCGGAAAAATCGGTAACTACTTATGCGATTGATCCGAAAGCTGCTGGAAAATCATCGCCTGATTTTTTGAAAGAGAAAAGATCTCGAAGCGAAAGCCCAGAATTTTATTGTAAAGCATCTGAGAAGTTGGCAACCGCTTATGCAACTGATACGGAAGCTACTGGAAAGTCATCGCCTGATTTTTTGAAAGAGAAAAGATCTCGAAACGGAAGCCCAGAATTTTATTGTAAAGAGTCGAAAAAGTCAGCAACTACTTACGCAATTGATTCAGTGGGTGTTGGAAGATCATCACCTGATTTTTTGGAAGAGGAAAGATCTCGGAGTGGAAGTCCAAAATTCTTTTGCAAAGAATCTAAAAAGTCGACAACAACTTATGCAATTGATTCAAAAGTTACCGGAAGATCATCACCTGATTTTTCAAAAGAAAGATCAGGAAGTGGAAGCCCAAAATTCTTTTGCAATGAATCTGAAAAGTCAGCAACAACTTACGCGATTGATTCAAAAACCAATAAGAAATTAACGACAGATCTATCAAAAAATCTAAATCGTTCTGTGATAAAAATAGAACCCGATAGTGAATATATAAAAAGAAGATCTACCAAAACATCTGTAATCGGAGATGATACTGTAGACAGGTATGCTAAGTCCACCGAACTTGATAAAATTAGAAGAATTTTTTCTTCGTCGGATAATGTAACGGATTATACAACAATTCATTCAACAATTGATGACAAAATTGATTCAAGACCGGTACGTGAAACGACCAACGTTTTCAAGAGATTATCAAGGGGCCGAGGTGCGAGTCCTTATTATCTACATCAAGAATACAAAAAGTCAGCACCAATAACAGCAATAAATATTAAAAACCGTGATTTCGTATCAAAATCACCAAATACAATGGAGAAAATTCCGAAAAATCACGAAGGTTCTTCGCTTCATCGTATCAAATACTCAAACAGTAGATCTACCACTGCGAAATCACCAGACTTTGCAAAAGCAAGTTTAAGAAAATCCAATACAAGTCCTCAATTTTCCTCCGACAGATCTGCTACTATCATGTTTGTAACGCCAGAAACAATAACAAAAACAAGAACAGGATACGCAAAAAATGGAAAAAAGGAACGAAGTTTAACTTCTTCTGTTAGGAAGACAGACATGAACATCGCAAATAGAATCTTTAATTCGAACAAAAAAATATCCACAGAAGACGTCGACGAAAATCCCAAATACAGCATAAGGAATTCAGTATCGCGATACTTTTCTGAACAATGTGAGAAAGCTTCCAGAGACAAGGAGACCGATACAATGCAAAATATTCGAAAGTCTCCAACTGACAAAAGTCCTGATGTGTCTCGTGATTCGTCTCCAGTATCATTGAAACATATGAAATTACCAAGCCCAGTAAATAAAAGTCCACAACCTTATCGTAAACTACCTGGTGATTTTGCTACAACAACGGATGTAGATATGAGCAGAAGTACAACTCCGGAATTTTTTTGTTATGAAACAGAAAAATTGGCCACAACTGTAAGCCTAAAACCTAAACCTTTGAAAGATTCAAAAGGCTATTCCAGAAGTCCTCCACCTGCGAGTGTACGGTCTGAAAGCAGATCATCAAAGAGTTCTGACACCTTTATTTCAACTAAAAATGTAACTATTGATACTAGCAGAAGTAACAGTCCAGCATTATCACGAGGAATGACGTACAGTGGTAGAGCAAGTCCAGGATTATCTTCTTCTGAAAAAGATAAATCAGCCATGACCATAAGTTCAGAACGTAAGTATACGAAAGACTTGCACAAACATTCCAAAAGTCTTCTATCTACAAATGTTCACCCTAGAAGTAAATCACCGAGAAATTCTGATGTGTTTGCTTCAACTAGAGATTCAGGAATAATTGGTAATAATAGAAAAATCAATCATAATTCATCAAGGCTACAAAAAGACACATACAACAGAAAATCTCCAGAGTTTTTTTGTTACGAAACGGAAAAATCAGCCACCACTGTGAGCCTGAAACCTAAGCCTTTGAAAGAATCAAGAAACTGTTCCAGAAGTCCTCAATTTACAATTCGATGTGAAAGTAGATCATCGAAAAATCCCGATGTCTTTACATTAACTAAAGACAAAAAACAAACTGGTAGCGCTGATAGAATCAATCGCTTATCATTAAGCCCAGAGAAAGACGCGCTCAGCAGAAATGGAACTCCAGAGTTCTTTTGTTACGAAACAGAAAAATCAGCGATGTCCGTTAGCTTAAAACCCAAGACCGCGAAGATTCCCTTTTACGAACGTTCTAAAAGCCCCCGGTTCTCAGAGGCCTACTTCAAAGGTAGATCTTCTAAAAGCCCTGAGCAGTCCGTGAAAGACCCCAAAGGAACTGTCCGCAGAGGGTCCGGCAATGTTCTGCGATCGACAAGATTGATTCGGGATATCATAAAGCATCAAAAAAATAAAAACTCCAGTTCATGGAAAGACACGGATGTACCCAAGAATAGGGGAGACAACAAAGACGTAGAATGGAAACACCGATCGAAGTACGATACAGCGTTTAGGGTGACTAGAGAAGTTGGCAAGAGAGCAACGACGCCATCCGATCGAAGGTGCAAGCTTTCCACTGTTGAAACGAGTCCAAAAAGTTCCGCGTCCGCAGAGATGAACTCGGAGACCCAAGAAATCACTATGACCGATCAATGCGTAAAAGGGAGAAGACTTCAGCAGGAACTTCGAAGCACTTACTCAAAATTGTCCAAGAAATCTGCGGGCTCCAGGAAACCGGAAAAAGGGTTCACGTATTCCGTGAACAAGCTAAGCAAAAACAGAAGGTCTCTTCTTGACTCGGATATTTTCCATTTATCGAAAAAGGATCAACGGACGGCGGGTTCACCTGGGAAAGGTACCAGCTTGAAGCGGATGAGTCCTTCGCCAACGGGCGAATTAGTTGTAGCGATGGAAGATACGCTAGAGGAAGAAAATCCTAGCGGAAGTTTACGATCCGGGGGGCAAACACTCTCGAGGCAGGCTCCGGCTTTGGGCTCCATAGAACTGGTCCGGAAGGTCATGAAGAGCGGGCCAAGAGTTTCCGATAAGACTTTAAAAACACAGGAAGTTGAAGACGGTCCGCCAGGCGAAATTCAAAGGTGGGGGAGTAATTCCGTCGTATCTGGGACGAGCGAGGTAAACGACGAAGGATCATCGAGCAAGAATTATGAGAGAACGGACTCAGTCGAGTCAGCACTCAGGCGCTTCGACTCTATTGACACAGAAGCCGGCGCGGAGTCTGTTCAAAGTACTTTGGAGAGGGGCAAAGAATCGGCAACAGAGAAAAGACAAACGCTGGAGGAATCGGGAATCGGAGGTCCGTCGAATGATTCGAGGGCGATCTCTCTTAAAGCACTTGACGGGTCAGATGTAAATTTGCCGCGCGCTCCCGGAAACAAACCATCAGGAATGCGTTTAAAGAAAATCTTGACGAAGGAAGCGTCGGATGTTGAAGCTTCGGGGAGAGGAAAGGCCGCGAAACGGGAAGAAATTCGACGTCAGGAAAGAATCGCGAGGGTCGGAAACTCTGTCGAGATCGTTGAGATCGCCGCGAGGTCGAGACCGTTGGTGTGCAGGCTTTTCCAAGATGTCAACTCGGTGGACGATATTGAAACTGGAAGCCCTAAATCGAAGCGCGGAAATTCCTCAGGACGCATTCCGTTCGGGAAGATAAGGTCGAATAAAGATGGGCTGGCCGATTCCGTGAAAAACAATGCGAAATTCTTGATGTCTTCGGGCGACGGGACGTCGATAAAAAGGGCAAACAAAAGGGAACCGGGCGAGGCATCAACAGGTACGTCCGACTCGGATCGTTCTCTCTCGGTGAAACAACTGAGATCGATCGAGGACATTCGGAAATCTATCGGGAGCAGTTCTTCCGATTGCAGAGCGACGAGAGGGTCTAAATCAGCGATCGCGGGTAACGCTTTTAAAGGCTCGAACGCGGCTCGACTGCAATCGCGTGTATCGAGTGACATTGCATGCGTTAGAAACGAAAACGAGCTGTCCCTGGCAAAGCGACCAAAGAATCATAGCGCGAGAGACAACGCTTTAAAGGATTCGGGACGCTTTGTAAAGTCTGCGACACGTTTCTCCAGGGTGGTGAAAAGTCCGAGTCTAGATTCGACGAAGCTGACGGAAACTGGCAGCCGTATACGGAGGAGCGTTCTTTCACCGCCATCGAAAAGCCCGGATACAGTGACGAGGGTAAGCAAAATTGCGTGGAATTTCCGTAAAAAGAGTTTCTTTATTGAAATGTTACTTTCGGAAAGGATTGTTTATGTTTATGCGTTTAATTACAATTAAACTCTGAAAATTAAATAAACGTAAAAACGATTTTTTGATATTACTTGTGTAGCTTACGATATATGGACTACCTTAAATAAGTAACTCGAACTTATTTAAACAGAAAACGGTAAGATGATTTTTCAATGAATTGTAAGTTTTAAAAGAACTTATCTTATTGCAGCGCCCTTCCACAGACTTGAAATCTTCAGATATAAAGTCGATAAAACGGACAACACCTACGAAAGAAACCGAGCCAATTGGAAACAAGAAGACGGTGACGACTACGACCACCGCTATAAGAAAATCGACGGATGTCGTCGACGGTGCTGTTTTCGAAAATGGTCTGCATCTACAAGACCAAACTGCCGAAACGAAATACGATAACGACTCGCAGACAGCGAAAAAGTTTTCTGACATCGACAACGATGAGCAAGCAACGCTGAAGGAAAATAATGGACCACTTTCAAGGAAACCACTGTTAAGAAAATCGTCTACTGAAGTAAGTAGTTATTAATTATTAAAGTGGAAAGATTATTGGAGAAACGAGTGAGAAAGTTAAAACATCTATAAATTTCGAGACACATGAATTATTGAGAAATATATTGATTTTCTTATTATTCCAAAATAGATGAAAATCGGTTATATTTGTTTGTAATCAATTCAAAATAAAATAAAAGCGAAGAAGTTTATAACATTGAAAAATTATGAAAATCTCTTTCATTCGTCACATTAAACCTTCATTGCTTTAAAGAAATTAAATTCTTGTTCATTTCAACTGTAAAGCACCAAAATATTTGTAATTGAATTAAATAAAATTCCATCCATCGAAAAAAAAGGAAATGTGTCAATCTGCGTGTATTATCTTACACGTAATTTTATTATCCTAATTAAATTTTTACTATGTTATATGCTTTTTCAGTTAATCCTTGAACAGTCAAATAGGATCTGTTTGGAGTACGCCCCTTTTTATTACTAAGTCAAAACATTTTATAAATATTTGTATTATTTACAAGTATACATATGTATTTATATCCAATTTAGGTATTGAAATCGTACTAATTGAACATCGTATGAAATTGTTTAACTTGAAGTTAAAAATGAAAGAAGTAAGTAGACAACCAAATCAAATCGGTGAATATTCCCGAAATAAAATGTCTCCCATCTTTTTATACTAATTAATCGAGACAGTCCAAGTGTAACTTCACATGGATTACACTCTGTTTTCTGTGTAAAGAACTGGACCTCCTACAAGCGAAAATTTCGAGTTCTGTCGCTGATAAAATTAATCAGTAATTTGACAGGCATTGTTCCATAAATTTGACACTTAGAAATTTCTAATAAAACACATATAAATCTTTACACTTTACCAAAATTGATATTACACGTAGTGTTTCTTGGTTTCAGTTGCACTGATGTCACTAACTATTAAATGGAACTCATTTTCAAATAAATTACAACTAATTTTATTCAATATTTATTTTGTTCAGAAACAGACACCCTCCACACAAACTGGTCGACCTCCTTCATCAGTCTCATCCACCTCTAACGGTAGTTTTATGCAAGCTAGCACTTCCGGTCCTAAACTTAAAATGACTTCGAAAGCAAAGACGTCCAGTTTCGCAACAAACTCATCCAGAACATCGGCTTCCTCAAAAATTGGATCCGCTTGTACCCCGTAAGAATCCAGAAACACTCATAATTATACCAGTCACTTTCCTAATTACAGTTTACAGCCACAAATGTCTGCAAAAAACTACAAAAAAATGTTAAAGTCAAGAAATTTATGTCTTCGTCCAAGAAAAATACTTCATAATTCAATTGTATATTTTCTTATAGAATAATTATATTCCATTTAATGTTCTATATAAAACTTTCGAATCACTCTACCGAGAAAATTAAATATTTCATATAAAAAAATATTGATGAATATCCATCAAAACAGTACAAAATATTGTTGTAATACATTCTGCAATATTATTTAGAGTAATTAAAAACAATGACCTTCCTCGAATTAAATTCAATGTTTTTAAACAATATACGTGGGGTCACGATTCTACGAAACGTAATCTTAAATGAACATTCTCACAGTGACCTGTTGGTTCCCTGTAAAATATGTGGACGTCGTTTCGCCCAAGATCGCGTGGTCCTACACGAACAAATCTGCACAAAAACAGGTCAAAAGAAGAGAAAGCTATTCGATTCGGTAATGTACCGAGTAAAAGGTACCGAGCTAGAGAAATTTGTCTTGAAAAAGGGATCCTCTAAAAAGCAACCCGAGGTCAGTATTCCGACACATTAAATACGATGCACCCGTAAAATGATGTTATAGCAACGAACCGCCTATTCTACGCTGACAATTTTCCTACTGCACAAAGTTAAGCTAGCAAAAACAGAAACAAAAAGAAATCTGCTTTTTCTACACTTTACAGCTTCGCAAAACAGCTTTTACGCGTCAAGAGAAACGCATCGTAGGACTTTTCCCAAGTCTCCATAGTAGTAGTTTAATATGTATCCGCTTGTAGCAAGGAAACTTTTTCCAGTCCGGCTAATTATTTTTCCAAGAAGCGGTGCGCTGTTTGTTCCCAAGGTGATTGTCTTCTTGAATGTTTCAGAAATCATCGGAGGTGAAGTCCAACTGGCGACGCAAACACGAAGACTTCATCAACGCTATACGCTCGGCTAAGCAGGTGCAAGCGCACCTGGCTGCGGGAGGCAAACTCAGCGACCTGCCACCACCTCCAGCCAGCGATACCAGCGATTACATACAATGTCCACATTGCGGAAGAAAATTTAACAAGGCCGCCGCCGAGCGTCACATTCCCAAATGCGAACACATGCTGCACAACAAACCAATACACTCCCGAGCACCGAAACCGAAACGTTAATTTTCACTAGGGACCGATCATACTTCTCTATGTTAATCGATCGAAAACAGAATGGGCCGAATAACTTCTCTTTTAAAAAAATGCATAAATAAATTGACATGAAAACAATATCGAAATTTGACTTTTCTAATTAACGTCTAATCGTTGCGAAATTAATAGGGAACAAACTTTTAAGACTCTTACGAGCTCAAGTATCATCACACCTTTTCTGTTCGCAGTCAACAGCATTTTTACATACGAAAGTACTTTGCTAATTTCGGAACTTTCTTATACAGTTTTATATACAATTTCCTATGCGGTAACTTCACAAAATTAAATGAAATTTAATCAGTGAAATGTGTATTAGACGAACGTAAAGTGGCATGTGAATTGTAATTGCAGCTTTAGTCGAACCATACGAGTTCGCCTGTAAACACTGGAGTAAATGTATTTTGTAATCGGTTTACAATGAAATGTGAACTCTGTTTACGGATTGTACATATGTACCGTAAAACAGACATTTAATAAATTGATACGACACTTCTTGAGTACCGTGCCGATAAAGAGAAATTAGGAATAGTATGCTTCTTCTTATCGAATATGATAAATTAGTCTGTTACATCGGCGAATATGAAATGTCGGATTTTTTAAAATCGTTTATCGTTATAATGTGCCTTAAACGAATTTTATTAATCAAAGTCAAATTATCTGCGTTCCTTAATGAAAGGAAATTATATTTATAGGTGTGTTACTAAGATCCTCAATTCTTTGAAGTAAATTTAATGATTTGATACTAATATTCAAATGATCTATTAATTTAACATTTCATACTAATATTCAAATGATTCATTAACTTAGTATTTGAAAATAGAAGTTAGAAAATAGAGTTTGTCAGAATTTTCAATGATAGATTGTAATAATTAAAGTACGAGTCATAATCCTCGCTAATTTTCGTCGATAATTCGATAAAACCGACATTTCATATATATCAACATAATATTTAGAACTAATGTTTATAAACTGAACAACAATAAATAAATCAAAAATATATATAAATCTCGAAATTTTTGTGATATTGTATTTTATAATGATCTACAGGAAATATTAACAGTTTGGATCGTTTAACTTTGTATACGTATTTATATCTTTTAATATGTAGTACTAGAGAAATATTACACAAAAATTTGTAACTTTACAATCATTCGCCCCAAAACATATTAACGTCACATTATAAATGTACTTGATTAGTAAAAGTCGTTTGGAATTGAAGGATTAATGATGAACATGGTGCTTGATCAAAACACAAATATTGTGATTTACTTTGTAAATTTTCATCGAAAAAGTGATAATGTTACTATTATGATGAAATATTAAAAGCTAATAAACTAACTTTATATTTAAAACCAAAAACTACTTTAACACGTGAATTCTAAAAATAAACTATAAATCATTACTTGGAAACATTAGTAACACGAAATCATCAATATTTTTATAAAAATGACACTAGAAATTTAAATACTATATACTTCATAGGTTGTACGAAAATATCGTTTTTATGGAACAAAATAAAAACGGTGTATTTTCAAACCCATAATTTTTATTTATTTAAAATATATAGTGTTATCATTATTATTCATTTAAAATTAGCACTTTTTTTATTTGAACTCAAAGCTAACATTATACAATTTCATTGAAAGTATGAATATCAAATAATTTGAAATTATCGTAATAAGTTTATGAATAAAATTTATTAATTTGAGTAATACAAAATTATAGTGAATAAACGGAAACTGCTAGGGATTTTTAAACTAGGAATATTAACAGTGAAAGTGCATACCTGAATTGTCTCAGCCAACACAGCAGACGACGTGGTATTCCCGGTGTGATCAGTGTTTAAAAAGTCTCCGTTTGTGAGGTTGTTATTATCAAAAAAATAATGAAATAATACGATGATTTTGAGCCAGATCTGTGAATAGAAAGAAAACATGGATCACTTAATTATCTTGGTTTCTATGGTACATTTATTGTACTGTCCATTCACAAAAGTGGAGGAAAGTTTCAACCTGCAGGCTATGCACGACATCTTATACCATGGTTTTAACCTGACCGAGGTAATTATTACATTTCTGGAAGTTATATCACTTAAATACAAGAATTCATATATTAAACCAATGGTGTTAGATAATGAAAAATAATTTAACTTTTTTGACAAGTAGCTGACACGCAATCGAACAGATATTACGCAAAAACTGAAATATTATATTTAGAAGCAGATGCATGTATTTATAAACTCACGATCAGCTGATGCAGCTTCGGTTCTCTTAACTCTTTATTAACTCATTAATCCCAATTTTCGTTAGAACGTACGTACAGTGCGAAATTGAACGCAACACGCATTCAAAAATTTTATTAAATTTCTGTATTAATCATTTATTGCTATAATTGAATTAAACATTTAATTTAACAGCTTGCAATATTCACGCATTATAATACGTTAGTAGAAAACATTGAAGTTTTATACTAATTGTTTGCAACATATTCTTATTCTGTGATAGTATGATCATCATGAATTTCCTGGAGTTGTGCCACGATCATTCGTGGGACCAATTATAATATCAGGCTTGGCATCACCGCTAATAGCAACCATTAATTATTTGCAACTTAATAAATTCTTTGCTCAATATGTTGGTAAGTTAATTAATGAATGAATTGCATTTATATTACTTTTTATTTCTGCTTGTTTTGTTGTTAATGTTAGAAATAAATGTAGACAATATAATAGTTCTTAATTTATTATAAATAAAAATAAAAAAGTAATTTATACTATTGTATTCCAGTAAGAGCAGTATTGGGTTTATTGGTAATAAGTATGTTGAAACTCTATAGAGATGCTTTACAAAGTATATTTGGTTTACAATTTACAAAATGGTTTGTTGCAATTACTGTGACACAATATCACTTTATGTATTACTTAAGTCGTCCATTACCAAATATAATGGCAATGCCACTAGGTAATTCATACATTTTAGTCAAGTTCAAGACTTTACATTTATTAGAAATTAGATATCTATCATTAATTTATTTTAGTACTACTGGCTTTATTTGGGTGGTTAAAACAAAATCACATCATATTTATTTGGTCATCTGCAGCAGCAATAATAATATTCAGAGCAGAACTAGCTATGCTACTGGGATTATTCCTTTTGTACGATATAGCCAACATGAAACTGACCATACCAAGGTATTTACATATTATATTGCGGACCATTGATTCCTAGTATGGCTATAACATTGCAAACAGAAGTGATTAGAATCATCAAGGGACATTCTGCAAAACTGCACTGATTTGTAAGCTTCGTTCGCTTATAAAACTTATTAACACAAATGAAACCCTTCTCTCAAACATAACCAGACAAACATAAATCCTTCGTTTAATACACCGCAATAAATTTTGAGTTTATTATTAAAAGTAGAAAGGGAAAGCGATTAAAAGTTCATTTTACTATGGGAAATGTTTCATCCATTAAAACTTGTTTTTCCTTTATGAAAATAATAATTTAATAAAGGCAATAATTTTTAGACTACTTAAAATTGCGGTTCCAGCTGGTATATTTTTTCTAACACTAACGGTTGCAGTAGATTCCATATTTTGGAGACGTATATTATGGCCTGAAGGAGAAGTGTTTTACTTCAATACCATTCTTAATAAAAGTAGTCAATGGGGTGTATCCTTTATCAAAGAATAACTAAAATGCTAGCTTATAAACTATTATTTTAAAACTTATTTAAATAAAAGTTTGAAATATATCTTCTCATCTTAACATAAACACAGACATCGCCATTTTTATGGTATTTTTACTCTGCACTTCCACGAGGGTTGGCTTTCTCATATTTTTTAATACCCTTGGGTATGCTTTGGGATGCCCGAGTTCGAACATTAACAGTTCCTGCTGTTCTATTCGTTATATTATTCTCATTTCTACCACATAAAGAATTGAGGTTTATCATATATGTATTTCCACTGCTCAATATTAGCGCAGCAGCTGTTTGTCACAGAATGTAAGTATTTTATTCATTACTTCAATTCTTTAATTATTTTTAAATTTTTAATTTTGATAAACTTATTATTATTATATGTCCTTTTATAAATAGATGGGAGAACAGAGCAAAAAATTCATGGAATGGATTTATGGCATTAGTTATTTCAGGCCATTTAGTTTTAAATGCTTTATTCTCTATGTTTCTTTTATGCGTTGCTGGTTCTAACTATCCTGGTGGTTTAGCTATTGCTAAATTACACCGGCTTGAAAGAGATTCTATCAATCCAGTTCATGTACACATTGATGTTCTCACTGCTCAGACGGGGGTTTCAAAATTTACACAAACAAATGATTCTTGGATGTAAGTTATATACTTCAATTTATTAAATGAATAGTCTTTTCATTAACTAAAACTAGAAATGCATTAAAGATAAATTTTTTTTAATCACAGATAATCTAGTTTAATGTCAACTATCTTTCAGTTATTCGAAACAAGAAAATTTAACCATCGATAATCCTGAAATGCTTCAATTTACACATATTTTAATAGAAGCGAAAAGTAAATATTCTCCAAATATAAAACCTTATCTTAAAACTCATGATATTCTGGATTCTGTGGATGGTTTCTCGCATATTGCACTTAATTATAACATGTTACCACCTATAAGAATTAAAACTAAGCCTATTATATTTATTATGAGAAGGAAACCAAACATAAAATATGATTCAAAAAAAGCTAAAGTACACATTAATGTAAAGCAGATAACTGACAATGATGTTCAAAAACAAGTGCAAATTAAAGACATAATAAATGAAACTGCAAAAAGTATGGAACCAATATTAGGGGAGATTATGGAATCATTAGAAGAATTTGAAAAACCATTAAATATTAACATTGAATATGATTTAGATGCGAAACAACAAGAAACACTGACATTAATAAATATGACTCAAAATAATTCTAATGAACGTATTGAATCACTAAATGTGGTACCAGAGAATGTAAACTTATCTGAAAATAAATTATTATACTCAGAAACTTCGATTCAAAAAGAAAAAGTACCAAATATATCAAAAGTAGAAAACAGTCTTAGTACTGAAAGTAATACAAATGTGCAACATATTATAGAAAATATTTCCATTATTAACGAAAAACAGTTAAGCGCAAAGAGTGAAGAACCTAGAAAAGAAACGGTTAAAGAAAAACTTAAAACTTCTAGTGTTCAGGAGAGTAACACTTTAAAACAAACTGTTCGAAAACTAATTCAAGAAAAACTAGAGGCAGTTAAACTGAAAAAAGATGTGGATGACCAAAGAAAAATATTGGAAGCTCCAGAAAAAAGTACTGTAGAAATGAAGAAAATAGTTCCAGCAAAAATAGAATTACAACAAAAAATGAAAATTATTACAAAAGAAGAATCAAAAGAAATACCTACAGCTGTTCAAAAAATAACTAAGGAGCACCGTGTAATTAATGTTAAGGAAAGCATTAGGAATATAATAAGTCAATTCAAAGAATTTGAAAAAGACTTTGTACATGAAGATTTAGAAACTGTCAAGAAAGGAATAGTTCCCACTGAGCAATTTAATGAATTAACTACAATTCCATCTCAAGATCCTACAAATGTTTCAGATACAGTAAAAGATGAAGATATTAAATCCATGAAAGATGCCAAAGAAAGTTTAAGGGATATAATAAATCAATTTAAACAAATAAAAAAGGAATTGATTTCTGAAGAAGACAATGAGTTCGATGAAATTGAAGCTACTTATATGGATAGACCTATTTCAGAGACATTAATGAAATTTAGTGAATCCTTGAAAAACCTAATACATCGAAGAAAAAAGGAGAAACTATTTATTGCCAGTGATTCAGATAATAAAAAAGATGTGCCGAAATCACAATCTCTGCCAAAAGTAGCAGTAAAAGATTCTCAGATTATAACAGAATCCGTCAGGAACATTCAAATTATAGAAAAATTAGAAAACGTTGACGAAAATATTAAGGCAAAGGATAGCTCAAGTGTAGGCACAACTAAACTTTTTGAAGAAAAATCTTTTACAATGTATACGAACAATGAAAACGTCCCTTTAGATAGTCAGAAATCTGTCGATAATGTGTCCAATAATATAAACAAGAAATATGCTTCCAAAGAAGAGGATGACGAAGTAACGCAAAATGAAGTTGAAAATAACACGAATAATTGAGTGTTAAAAATACATGACTGTTTTTATGCTTTTTGATGAGGCAATTGTGTAGTTATAGTAATATGTAAATACGTTATTCTGTGATAACGAAACTATTATATTTCGTAATTGATGCTCATGCATTACCAACGCGGAAAAACAAGATTAGTTTCCTTGTTTAATTGCTCGAAATGTCAATGAATATTAAAACAAAATACAAAAGCATTTGTCCAATGTATAGTACTGAAAAAGTGCCACAAGTAACTCTGTATGTATGTTGTTATATAATATTAATTTATAAACAATTATTTCACGTATTCCAAAGCTATCTTAATTGTTTTTATACATTTAAATATCGAAATATTTAACTATATATTGTTTGATATAAAAGTAACATTTATCAATGCATGTCTACATGAAGCTATGCAATCTTAATATTCACCCTTGACTGCTTCAAATTTCATAAGATATTATTTAGTAATAGTTTTATTGTTTCCTCTTCAATTCTTTGCATTTAAATTCTGCTTTTCATGTTTTTCATATTTCATAACTTATTTTATTTTCGTTTTTTTAATAATACAGCCTATATTGCTTAAGATTGTTCCATCATTTCAATTTTCATTACAAAAAGAAATATATTCTATCACAAAAAGGAAGTACATTGAATTCCATATTGGTATTTGCAGAGCATTCAAGTGCCTTGAAATTTCTTCCAAGTTCTATGTACATACATATTGAAAACATATTCAAAGAATATATATATGTAATATATTGTGTAGTAATATTTTGCGATAAGATATTTAATGCCAGAAGATAAATGTTAATTCTTATATTATTGCTGATATAGATAATCAAAAGTGCCAAATTTCAATTAAGAATTTTATTAAAATATGTACAGTTTTTTATAGTTTAAATTTTTTCTGATTGTGATGTATTTTCTATTATGTCACGAACGAAACGAACTATGACTTAATTAATTTGCATACTTCTTTAAATGTTTCAAATGTATCATATGCAGTTAATATTACATTTATCTAATATAAGACTTCATCATGAAAACCACATTTTAAGTACACTGGACATCCACCTTCACAGTGTTCATATAAATAAAAATAATTATATTCAAACTACATAGTGAATGTCATTCAATTTTAAGTTAATTATACATTAAAGCTTTGTATACCTGCATCTTTGCTTGTCTTAATTTAAAATTCTGATATGCTTCATCTGAAATGGAATTTGCATATCTTATGTACAATGTTTGTCGTAATAAAACAGTGTTCTCATAAAAATGCCTTCTCTGATGGATCTATTAATTTTATAAAGCCGAATAAGTTTTACTTATATTTGTACTTAAGTACAAATTAAAATAATAAATTTTAATAAGATAATAAATGAACATATTTGTTCTAAAAATATAACTTTGTATGCCATATATATAATTTCGAAGTGTAGGATCAACAATTAATTCAAATTTTTTTAATTATATTTCAAAACTGATTTAAAAAAATAATAGAATAATTTACTTATAAGTAACATATTGCAATATTTTTGTAACTGTCTATAAAAGAATTCTATACCTGCCAAAAATTTTTTATTCACTTGTAAGGAACTGACTGGATATTGTACGAACGCAATACGTATTTCTGTTTAAACTTGCGCGCTTTTTTTATATTTGCATCCCAAAAAATATAACCGTTACCTGTAATTACGAAAATTGGCAAACCTGAAACATAGCTTAACTAAACAATGGATCAGAAAATTCACGGAAGAGGTCGGTGTAAACAACCGGAAAAAGGAACTGTTACAAATGGAACTTAAGCGAGTCCAGACATTTGTTTTATAAGCAATTTCTACAGCAAATATCTTCAAATATTTGAAGATATTCCTACATATTACCAACTAATTAAAACTAACTAACTTGATGTCTAGTAATTAAAACTAATAACTAAAACTAACTTACTCTAGTTACAAGTAGATAGCGCATCGACTGCTTAAACCGTACAGCATGCGTACTCGATTCTCGACGCAACAGTCGTAAACAACATTTTTTCCAACCAGAATCCTCACAAGTTTACGCTTGCACGGTAAATAGAGCGTCCTGGCAGATGCGCCATAATTTTTCCGCGTTTTCATACAATTTCGCGGAAAAATGGGGTCGAATTTGCACGCTCAGTGTACGTGATACGTAGACTTATGGGTTTCTGGCATGCGGTGACGTCATCCGGATCATTCTGGAAGAACCCTGCAGGACAATAATGGCGGGTATGTATTTACGTTGACAAAGAGACTATAGATTTTGATTGAAACCTGTATTCATTAGAGTACTTATGTACCTACGACTCTTCGTTTTCAGATTTGTATGCAAAATACAACTGCACCTATTGTCAAGAGGACATCACGGGTTTACGCGTTAGATGTGTAGAATGCCCAGATTTCGACCTCTGTTTGCAGGTGAGACGAGTGAACGCGTTTCTCGGTCACGTGTTCGTGCTTCCCCTTCCCGTACCCTCTTCTTCCATTTTCTTGTGTCTTCGTCTATCCTTCCTGTTTTGTTGGATTTTGCGTATTCAAATTTTTTTGTTTCCCACCCTTATATCTTTTTTTATTCAGAAGTTAGTCCGTAATTACTCCACTGCTTCACGCAAGGTGAATAAAACTACAGATGACGAAAAAACACGTGTTTTCGCGCGAAGTGACGAATTAGTAATTCCATTGTTTCGAGAAACATAATGTTTTTAAATGTTGACAGTGTTTTTCCGCTGGAGCTGAAATTGGTCCACACAAAAATGATCACTCTTATCAGTTTATGGTAAGTATAAATATGTAACAATTTTAATTTTAATTAATATCTTTATTGGCCAGAGACATGTGTAGGATTTATATTTACAGGATTCTGGAACCATTAGTATATTTAATGGTAGGGGGAACTGGACTGCCAGGGAACAACTTAGACTCTTGGATGCCATTGAACAGTTTGGTTTTGGTAACTGGGAAGACATTAGTAAACACATTGAAACACGTACACCGGAAGGTAGTGTATCTATTAATGAATTTGTTTACATTGAAATTGTTAATTTTAATATTAGGAAATTGTAAATTGGGATAAATTGTAAAATTAAAACTGATATTTTTTCTTAATGTTATGTACAATTATTATTTTTCCTTTACAGAAGCTAAAGAAGAATATATTGCTAGGTACCTCGACGGTAATATTGGCAAGCACACATGGCCACCGACAGAAAGCTATAAACCAAATCTTACAGATCAAACTAAGTCGGATCACGGACCTTTATCACCTGATCTTACATCTAGGTTACCACCATTGGATATCACTCCAGAAGAAGCTGCACAATTGGGTTATATGCCCCAACGAGACGATTTTGAAAGGGTAAGTCGGTAAATACAATATTTTCATAAGTATATGTATACTAATTTTTATTAAACTTTTTCAGGATTACAATCATGAAGCGGAATCTCTTGTTTCTTCATTATTCTTAAATCCAGCTGAGGATGATGATTTGGATATAGCACTAAAACTTGCACAAGTTGACATGTATACAAATAATTTAAGAGAAAGAGCTAGACGAAAAAGAGTAGTACGTGATTATCAACTTGTATCAGCTTTCTTTGCTTCGTCTAGAAAAGATAAAACTGTGAAGAAAAAGCAATCGAAGGAAGAAAAGTAAGATGAAAGTTTCTATTTGTTAAGACATGAATTAATTTTCTACATTATTTTATTTTAAACTTGTATAATTTGCAGAGAATTCAGAGATAGAATACGACCATTTGCTCAGTTTTACACGGCACAGGAGTATGAGCAATTCTTGAATAATCTTGAACGAGAAAGAGAATTGCGCTTGCGTCTTTCAGAGTTATATCGCTATCGAGAAAGTGGAATTTCAAGACATGAAGAATGTGCTCATTTTGAGCAAGTGATTGCACAAACCCAGGGTCAAAATGATGCAGCTGATCACTGGAATGAAAAAAAATCTGTAAGTATTCATTTCCTCCTGTGTGCTAACTTTCTTCACATTAATGACAGTTGGAATTATTTTCGAGAGGTATACCCTGCTGTTTATAGCACTTTATATTGGGTATATCTTCTCGAATAAAAACAATGTTAAATATGCAGTCGTAAAAGCTAGTAGAGCTTCTAAAATGTGTAATACTCTCAGAAAGTTCTAAATGTTGTTTTACTTAAAATTGAGAATAAACAATTAATAAGATTGTGAAATCTTCAGATGTGAATAATAATAATATTTAAGTGTTTTGGTTTTTTCTTTTATTAAATAGTTTTGTGCCATGCTAATTATGTGTATAGTATTTATTTTGTTTTAGTATATAGTAAATTTTGATGTTTTCTTATTTTAATGAGTTGCAATACAAGTGTGGAATAAATTTAATGACAATAACAGTGTTAGAAAAATTAAGAAAGAATTGGATTCTTATATGTGAAACCAGAACTTTAATTATACTGTATGCTCTAGCTTTTGCTTCCCCTTTAACTAATTCCATTGTTTGTGATGCTTGTTGCCAGGCATTTGTGAACAGATTGTATCAGTTTGCATTTCACTTAGGGCAGCAGTGGGCCGTCCACACCAATTCACCGCCACACCTCAAAAAAAAGGTACGAAAGTGTTCCGAAAATTAAAAATTTATCTGCAATTTCAGTTTGTAAAGAAACGAAGCTATATAATTAATTCTTTCCTTAAAGATAGTAACGTAAAAAGGATATTCTCTATTATGCTTTCCAGAGAAGAAGAAAAAAGTTACTCTTCCATCGACCGAAAGTACATTGCAAAAGACTTACTCAGCAGCAGCTCCTCTCTCAGTCAAACCAATCCCAATCGGACGACGACTCCAGCCAATCAGTGGGCGGAGCAGGATAACTATCTGAATTCTTCCAGCCAACATTCTACCAGCTCCAGTTCTACTACAGAAAAAAACTTCACTGCGACAACTTCTGGAAAATCATGTTCAACAATAGGTGATTTAGAAGAACGAGATATTGAAATGGAAGCTGCAGCACATTTATTAACGAAACAAGAAAAATCTTTGTGTCTTCAACTTGATCTGAAGCCAACACAGTATTTAACACAGAAAACGTTGTTGTTGCAAGTAAGTTTCTTTGTTTTGTTCTGTATAGAGTAGTTTAAAAACATTCAATATATATTTCAGTTAAAACTATAATTTTTTAATACAAATTATTGTAATGAATTCAGGCTTGTAGAAGTTTGTCCAGTTAAGTCAGAACCCACGTGTATGAGAAACAGTGTAAACGGTAATAGCGAGTCGCGTACAGATATTTACTACATACACACACATACTCAGCTTGAGACTTTTCAAACGCATCGAATCCCACAGACACAATTTTTTTATTAACCCTTTCATTCGACTGACTTTAATCGGTATCCATGTACCGAGCTGGAAATACTAGCATCGCCTATAATCGGTACTTCGGATTGACTGCATGATGTTTGTAATGACCGTTTTGATTCTCTTTATGTATTAAAACTCCCGGACCCGTGGCCATAAAAAAAGAGTTTACCTACAATTTTTTGGTATTGACATAGTCTATGTTACCAATTAATTTCTGATATCTATCATGATATTGTTAATAATACAAAAATTGAGAAGGATTAAACTCTATGACACATAAGAGCGACTGTCGCAAACAATAATGCAAGCACTTAACTTCCAAGTTTTGGAAATCCAATTTTTGTTATAATTTATAAATGTAATATGGAAATATTATCAAACAATTAAAAATATTTTAAATAAATGGGTGAATATTAAAAACTTTTATTTAAAGTTTATGAGCAAACCTAGGCGAACCTTGTTTCTGATTCTCAGAAAATGTAAGAGAAATGACGTTGCATGAATTAGTGTCTGTACGTATCTATGACGTTACTGTGTGCGCTTTTGTTATCGCATACACAAGATTTGAGTTAAGTGGATATTCCTGTATGTTTATGCACAACTTGTTTATGGAATAGAAAACTAGAATACTAATTTTTTTGTTTTTAAATTACTCTGTGTTTTTGTCTTCTTATATGGGTAACATAGGTTACATTTATGTGGAATCTGTATGATTGCAGGAGTATCTAAATGGTAATAGGAGATCTGGCGTTGTTCCTCAGTCGGAACCAGAGAGTAAGATTTTACATTATCTGGTTGCGAATGGCTGGATTGTGGCCAATTAACCATTTGTAAAAAAAAATTAATGACGATTTCAACTCTAAGTCACCCTCTATTTTGCAAACTAAGTCCTAGGTATAATTCAAATTCGAGTCTGATTTAATTAACGTACGAGACAGGTAGAGAGAGAGAGAGAGAGAGAATGTGTGTGTATATATATAATTTAATATGTAAAGAGTATTCTTTCTTTCCTACAATTTATTAATGGAACTGTTGTATAGTCAAAATTCAGCTGGTCATATTGAAGGGTAAATTGTTACAATTCAGCAATTTTATTAGCAACCATTTAATTCAATTATATTTTTTCGCAATCGTATCTATTATTTCACTATGTGAAATAATAAAATACATTACTTCGAAAGTTATAAAGTTTGAATCCATTTAGGCCGTAACAGTTCATTTATCAACTGTCGATACTCTTTCATTGCTTTTAAAAAATTGCAATTATTACATATTCACCGCAGTCATGTGCGAAACGATTCTCGAAAATTGTATTTGATTTAAAATACAACGGTTATGTTAGGTTTCGTTCATCGTTTAGTCAAATATAAGAATTTATTTAACACTGTATAAGAAAATCTCTTACACTGCCTTCATAGAGCCATTGAACATATTGCTCAATTAATTCTTCCACTGTAATGTTTTCTTGTACAGACTATTAGCTGCACATACTTCTTTCTATCTGTTTTATTGTGATTTGTTACCATACTTGACAATAAGGAAGTGCAGATAGGTTATTTAATCGAGATTACGTCGCGAATTATTTCAACTAGGAGTTTAACAATAAAAATGTTAATTGAAATACTAAATAAGTTTCAGTAAAATTTTAGTTATATTTCAGTGAAATATGAAAAAGCTTTAAACCATTGAGAAAGTAAATTCTACTTTGTTAAAAAATTAGTGTAAATATGAGTCTATTATTGAAATTGGCTTAACAACAGACATATTAATAGTTGCATGGTGTAACAATCGAAATCGTCTAATAAAGAGGTTAAATTTTTCAAATAATACATCCCCGATTTATGTTCAAACGCATTTTATTCTACAAATATCTGTTGGTACTTTTTTTCAACAAAATAAGGAGTTCCTTATTGATAAGAAATGGTACAAAGAACAGGTCGCGAGGACACTTGTTATCACCATGATATATAAATATATATACATATATTAAATATATATATATATATATATATAATATTAGGTAATTTATTTGTTGCCTGTGTAATATTTGTACATACAATGGAGAAGAAAAAAAATAGTACCTTCCTAGTGATACTACTTCTAAAGCACAAATTATGGTGGTAATATAAAGAAGTTTTGAAAAGAAAGCGTATAGTGTGATACTGGTGGTGTTCTAAGCCAAACTGATATTGCAGAAAAGACATACGAACTTAAGACACGGATTATTGTTTTAAGGAAGCAATTATTTTCCGTTGTTTATAACACATTAGCTACAAACTACCATAGCTTCTACTTAAAAAGAGAAAAAAAAGGAAATAAGTAACAAAAATGACTGTGCCGTAATAAAAGTATGTGCGTTGTCGCATCTTTGTGAAAAGATACCCATTGTTGTACGCTTCTACGGCTTTTACATAAGAAGCAAACCATTTATAGCTTTTATTTAGTATAAATTGGTCGCGAACTTTTATATATCCTCCATTTCTCTGGTATGCTTAAAAAATTAAACAAACACACAAAAAAATGAAAAAATATTGAACGTTTGCTTGAACGTAATTTCGTCTTTTTCTAAATCTTCACGCTTTATCAATGCTTAAACGTAAGTTCAAGCGAGACGAACGTCATTGTTTAGCTTGCATCATCGTATGGATGTAAAAGAAAAACAACTAAAAAAAGCTGTATCTTTGTAAATAAATGAAGAAAAGTAACTACGAGTTAGTGGTTATAAAATCTTTATGTATAAAAGTAAAAGAGAGTCAGAAATATCTTCCGTTGGAGAAAAAAGATACTTATTATGACGTATTGCTTTAATACATGGCTAAGTGATGAGAGATGATAAGGGAAATAGCTGCTCATATTTTTTACGGAGAGTAGAAGACTATTCCCTTTTATTCATTGTAAACTATCTGCCTGCAAACGGTAGTGAGTAATTTTTCAATGGACACATTATGATTCTTAAAACATATTACTTGTTACGTTTTCGCTGCCTGTATTGACCGGTAGTCGATCCATGCAAGTTGTTGGGGGGTTTAGTGTCGCTCATCTTTTTTAGCGGTCACAATTTTAACTTCTCTCTTGTTTACTGTTTTACAATGATGTTGCTTGCACTGTTTCTAATAAATTTTTGTTGTCCACTTAATTGTGATCGAAAAATGAAAAATTTTTAACTTAATTTTTTTTTATTTTATCGCGAAACTTGCAAAGATCGACTAGCCCGTCGTTTGACTGTAATATTTATGTAACATGGTTCATTACGGATAGACTGTTTAACCGAACAAGTTCACGGTGTCTTGTAATTCACGATGGATTAGTAAAGAGGTGATGATTATCAAAGGGATGCCTTAGTGGATTAGTTCATTAATTTTTAATTCGTAGATATTGCACTAAATTATATATCAAACAGAAATCTCATTTTCGAATTAAAAATGATTTTAAAAGAAACGTAAATGTTTTCTAGATGTCACATAGTATAGTGTTAAATTGCACGCTGACCTTTTCAATTTTCACTAATATTAACATTGATAAACTATTCAAGTACAGTGTTAACATTACAGTTTCGATTGCTTATTCAACCGCAGGATATAATGGTAATAAATAAGTAATGAATGTTATGAAATAGATATTCAAAACTTATTATAGTTACCTCTTTTTACAAGGAATTACAGGTCACCCTTGCAAGACGATGTTCTGTTAAATAAAATGGTCGTTACGCCTTCCTGTAATTATCTACAATATTAA